ATTTCAATTCCGATGTCATCATCAGATCAGTGGGTTTGGCTATTTTTTACGTCCTTTTTTTATCTGTCTTTTGAACTGTTTCGGTTCATACATATATATATCCTTGGCTTTCAAATATTCGGTTTTGAGCGTTCCTGATGAAGCTATATCAGAAAATCGCTTCGAACGAATAAAATTTATGATTTTTTTTACATGTTTGACAGCACTGGTTCGATACCACTGCTGGTGGACTATCAGACCCCGAGGGTATCATCAGCTTACTAGTCAGAACTTCGGTATTGACATGATGTATAACAAACCTTTCTAAAATTGTCCGTTTATAAATTAAGAAACTAAGATTTCAACTCCCTCGGGCCTTATATGAATTTGGGTATTTTTAGATCATTTTTGGTCCTATACCTTTTTAACTATTTCGATTCTTATACATCCTTGGTTTAAAATATTCGGCTTTGCGCGTTCACGATGAAGGTAAATCAAGTAAAGCGTTTCGGACGCATGAAACTTATAAAGTGTTATTTTCAAATTTTCTTAAAATAATAGAAAGTTTTTCGATCAGTTAAATAGTTTTCTTTTACATGTTATCGCCACTTGATTGTATACTGCTTGATTTTGTTTTCGCTAGAACGTTGTTTTGGTGAATCATCGTACAACATCGCACGAGATCTGTTTTTGAACCGTTGAACCGACATAATTTGGTTTATTATTTCTCTTTTCTCGTAAACCAAAGTAAAATGGTATAGAAACCTACACAAATATATCAACATAAAAATAGCATAAAAAAGAAGATACAAATTCAAGGTAGAAACATAAACTGGAGATCAATGAGATTGTATGCATTCATTGATTATTTGAAATAGCTTGCAGAACTTGCATATTCTTGAAATTTTAAGATATTTGGTCTGTTTACAATACGGTGCTTGAAAAATGTTTTTTTCTTCGTTCTTCTACTGTCGAATAGTTATACATTTCATGATTATTAAGTAAATTTGTACGATATAAATCGATTCCGATCAGAAAAGACTGGTATTTTGAACATTTTTTGTGGGTTGTTTTATAGATTATTGCCTTTGAGCCTATCCTTGAACGATTTTCGTATAGCTAATTTCAATCTTGTCCTTTCCGAAATCCAGTTTCTTTTATATTTAAGGATATTGTATATATGTAATTAGTTTTTTTAGCAAACATAAAACATCATCAAATTCATAAACCGTCAGTCGTGTGAAATCATTAACCCTAACACTAAACTGAATGTGAACACATAAGGTTAAGATTACAACATTTTCTCGACATTTCTCCCTGGAGGAAATTCCGATGATCGTATGTTAGTGCAAAAGATGTATAAATACCACTTTTAAAGCTGGGAGTGACTTTCAAATGTCTAGTTTGGTAAACTGTTGCCATTCACTGAAAATAACCAGACAGCGCCCTTTACAGATGCTTATCGTTACATTCATTTTGTACATAAAAACGAAATTGGACTCTCACATATAACTAAATATAAAATGACATATATATACTTTATAATTGAAGTGGGTTCACTTGTTCAAATAATACTTAAAAACATTAGTGTACAGTTGAAAGTTGGTAAGTAATCTTATAATGATAATTTATAGTTGAACAAGTATATAAAAACAAAATATTCATACGACACCAGAAGTGAATTCAATACTAGTAATTCGTAAGCTCCTTTTTTCATAAAAACGTTTTTAACAACCAAATATTTTGCAACGTTGAAATGTAAAAAACATTTTTATCCAATTATAGCTTACAGATTTTTTGGCTGTGTTGAAGACCCATTGGTGGTCTTCGGCTGTTTTCTGCTCTTTGGTCGGGTTGTTGTCTCTTTGAAACATTCCTCATTTCCATTCTCAATTTTATACTATTTGTACAAACTAATTTAGATTGATTTAAATTATATATTGATTGCTTACGTCCGCTTAAAAATATTGCATGCATATTAATGACAAGAACAAGTTGAACTATAAATCAAAAAGTTAGGTTCTGCAAAGTGAGTCGACGGGGATTAATTCTGGGATAGGAAAAGGTCGGATCAGAACTAGAAGTGAGGTGGAAGATACAAAAGGGATATTAAACTCATAAATCGATGACAAACTGACGACATGGCAAAAAAAAACGACCAGAACACCAACAATAGAATCTTTGCCTGGCATAATCCTCAATTCATTCCGACCATCAATATTTTAAAGTTGTGTTTCGGTGGATTTAGGCTCACGATATTTTGGGCCTTAATTTGGATTAACACATTTCGCAGAGAAGTGTTATTGAAAATGGTCAGGTCACCAGTTATAACTTGGCCAGCCGGATTATATATGAATCGGAAATTAGCACAGGTGCAGTCAGGACTTGAAGTCATCAATATTGAGATCCTGCTACACGTGTTTGTAATCGAACATTTTAGTCGCATTTGGTTTGATATAGGTATAGGTATAAGAGATGATATGTATAGACCGATCTGAAGTATCTAAAATTGACCTTGCAGTAATCAGAGCTTGACCGCAGTTATATAGAAGGATTGTTCATACAGTACAGATGAAGTACCAAATATTTATATGGATCCCCTCGTGCATTACAATTGTATTATACAAAAATTGTTTAAAATACTTCAAGTCAAAACTTGACAACAACTCGGTTGTTCTTAGATATCGGCAGACGTGATTTGTTTTTTGAAAAATGTATTTTGCTGAATGGAAATCGCTGTCAATTAATGTAATTAGTAGATATTTTGTTTATAAAAATATCAAGAATATTACTAATACTGCATGATTCAAGATGTTATATCAGTTCTGTATTAAAGTTAAAACTCATCAAGTTATAAAAAGGTGCGCCAGACGGGCGTTTCGTCTACAAAAAAATCAGAGCCACTCAAATCAAAACAATTGGGCAGCCAAATCTAAAACAAAGTTGTAGAACATTAAAACCGAAAATTCCGAAAAAATGTGCTAAATAATTGCTTAGGCAATCTATGACTGGTGGAAGAGTTTCGAATGATTCAACATTTTATAAACAGTAAATATTCAAAAATCCTATTTTACGTCAAGACAAAAATTCTGACTATTGGGTTGGTGATACAAAACGTCTACCAGCAGTAGGATCGACCCAGTGGTTGTAAAAACTCATTACAGATACAAGGCTTATAATTTTGAACGCTTGACGTACGTATCGTCTACATAAGTCTCACCAGTGGCTCTCAAATCAAAACAATTGCCTAGCCAAAATACGAGATATTTCTTACTAATATGCATTCAGTAAATCCCAATTAACGACTTTATGCTCTGGTGACGCAGTAAGGCCTGTTCGTATTTTATTCAACCTGTATTAATTTTTTTTTTTAATCAAACATAATTGAGAATAAACAGTTATGTTGACTATAAATATGGCAACATTAAAATGAAACTCGGTAGTTCGACTGTAAGACGCATTGACCATGTTCTTTTTATAATAAAAACAAAATGACTGTCCAAACACTTTATGGGATGTCCTTATCATTTAGTATATATATTAATATATAATTTACATAATAACCATATTCAATCAAAATCTAATTTATACATAGTCTGACTAGGTCACTGACCAAACCTCAGTACAATCCCAGTCTTTTATAATACACGCCAGACAGTTCTTTTCAAATGTATTAAAGACCGTCTTTGGTCTGAAATCCGTCAGTAAGTCGTGAAGATAAACGCACACTTATTCTTAACTATACCCATATCTAACATCAAATGTATGTATTGTCGTAAAAAAAATATGTTGCAAACAATACGACAATATTACAATGTTTTTTTTTTATTTCAATGAAAATGATGTTTATTTAAGACATATGTATGACTAAAGTTCAAATGCTCCTTATAAATCCAAATGTTTATTCAATTATTTTCGAAAAGATTTTCCAAAGAAAACATTTGTTTAATTCTTTTTGTTAAATGTGACTGAAGACCACCAAAACCTAACAGAAAACAGACACAAACCAAAGAATAACACAACTTTGGCCTCATTACTTCCTATGTGTGTCAATCTACCTGATATAAGTTCAACATTTCATATTTTATATTTACACCCATTGAAGTATTATATGACTGTTTGAATACAATGTACACCATGTTTTTACTTTAAAAAAAAACTTTGTTTATTTTAAGGAAGTTATTATATGTGTTACTATTTAATTCATTCATTTTATAGATCTGGTGAATAATGCAATAAATTCGGTTTTCACATACGAACAAGGATTTGTATTGTTTACATCTCGCAAATTCTACTTGTTAATATAATTGCTTGAAAGCACATTGGATGAATACTAAATGCATTTTAGAATAACGATGCACACAGTTTTGGGCTTAGTCTGTTCAGTTGTATGCTGTTTAAGTGTAAAAGTTTCGACAACATCCAAAGAAACAGTAAACAAATGGGTGACAGCAGATTATACAAATAAAAGTTTGAAAGAGGTGCCAAAAAATCTGTCTGTACACATTAACGTTCTTATCCTTGATCAAAACGAAATACAAATAATCGAAAACGGCACCTTCAAGAATTTAAGTGCACTGATTAAACTAACAATCAATAACAACAAATTGGAAATTCTACAGCCAAATGCATTCGATGGATTAGACTCTTTACAAAAACTAGAGCTCGTCGGAAATAGACTAAATTTATCTGTGTTCACTCCTACACTTTTCAGATTTTTTGCAAAATTAAGAGTGCTCAACGTCAGTAGAAATATCAATTTTTCAGACCATGCTAACTGGACACATTATCCAGATAGAGCGTTCGCAAAACTACTGTAAATTCAGAAATTATTGCGAGGTTTTTATTAATGCGAATAATGCGACTGGGTGAGTATCGCAATAATAAGAACTCGCATTTTGATATCTGATACATATATCTGTATGCAGATTTTACTTAAATCGCAATAATTAATCTCGCATTTTTGTCCATTTTTAGAAAATCGCAATATTAAATGCACGCAATAATTTCTGAATTTACAGTAATAAACTTGGAAGATTTTTCTATTGATCTGGCACCATTCCCTATTTTTGGACAGGAATTTAAGAAAATGGGAAATCTTCGGAAATTGGAGTTCAGTCATTGTCAGGTACGAGAAATTAATAACAGCACGTTCGAAAATTTTAACTCAAGTGTTGAATATCTGTATTTGTGGAAATGTCGTCATTTTGTAAAAGTAGAAAATGGAATACTTGAACCTTTTCCACATCTTAAAGTGTTAGATGTATCAAACACGTACATGCATCCAATCCAAGCTTTCCATCTTCTGAAACCTTTAGCAAATGGTTCTATGGAAATTATCAACTTTAATCATGTAAATGACGAATCAATAACAAACAACAGTACATACAGATATGAAGTTATTATCACACAGGGCATGATGCAATATTTGAAAACAATTTGTGTAAAAGTTATCGATGTTTCAAACAATAATATTATAGACTTTAACAATGGATCTCTTTTAACATTTGATAGACCAGAATGTCTTCGTGAAATTTCATTGTCAAAAAATCGATTTTCATTGTTTAACGGACATCAACTTAACAATACAATACAGTTTTTTAATAGTACCAGTAATCTTTGGAAGTTCGAGTATTCATATATACCTTTAGGTTTTATAAATTTCACTCAACATTTAGAATTCAATATGAGTAGTATTCCAAAAGACAGGGTCATAACACTACCCTCTTCCATACAAGTTGTACAAATGAGTCATATTTTCCGTACTGGTGAACCAGTATTATGGGAAATACCGGAAAATACAAAAGTAAGTCGTTTCGATGTATCTTTCTGTCAAACTGTTGATCAGGGGAAAATATTAGCCGGTTCGGAAATAGATTATATGGATGTCACAGGAATTGATTCGAGGGTAATTTTCGACACACTGCATTTGCATCCACTATCTAACCTCAGAACCCTGATAATAGAACACTCAAATTTATACACCACAAGCAAAATGCAGGACAATATTTTCACCTATATACCAGGAACAGAAAAACTTGACATTTCAAACAACTTCTTATGGGAATTGCATCTTAATATCTTTGAACATATGACAAAGTTAACCCACTTGAATCTATCAAATAATCTTTTCAGACAAATTCCTATGGCGATCACAAAAATACCAAATCTCAAGGAACTTGATGTGACCAACAACCTTCTAACCAACATAAATATCTCCTTTCAAACTTATTTCAAACAATTAAACGAAAAACACGGATTCAAACTTAATTTGGACAATAATGCGCTTGCATGTGACTGTACAAATTCTGACTTTATCGAATGGCTTGATAAAACCAATGTGACACTTGATGCTGAAGGAACATACAAATGCATCCTTCAAAACTCAACAGAAAGTAATACACATCATGCTGCTTTATATTACAATTATTTGTATGCAGGATGTAACAGCAAATTATGGCTTAAAGCAGTAATCGGATTGTTTGTGACATTTATTGGGATTTTCATTCCTTTTACACTTATATACAGTTTCAGATGGAGAATTTCATTTTATTTATACAAACGCTTTAGAAATATGCTAGAAAAGGGTATTGCTGTTAATTTTAAGTATGATGTTTTTGTGTTCTATCCTGAAGGTGGCCTTTCATGGGTAAAATATGTATTAATACCAAAATTAGAAAGAAAATGGGGACTGCTAATGTGTATACCTGACAGAGATTTTATTGTAGGAAAACCTATTGCTGATGAAATTGCAGATAACATCGAACAGAGCAGGCATATTATTTTTCTCGTAACGGCTTCTTTTAAACATGATACGTGGGGAGAATACGCCATAGAAAGGGCAAAATATCATCACTTTTCACAAAATTTACAGAAAATTATAGTTATAACAAAAGATTTACAGACGGAAGAAGTTCCACACGAATTAGCTGTGTTGTGGAAAGACATAGCTCTTATTGAATGGCCAATGAACGAAAAAGATCTTGAAAATACATGGAATAAACTCAAACTATGGCTATTCTTAAACCAGCCTAATTAATTGTTACCTAAAGGGATTTTGAAAGGCTGTCATATAAGAGGAAGTGTGTGTTATTGAGTCAGACATGGTTAACTCGCCAAGTTCCAATTTGGAGTGCTATTACCAAGTCAGAAATGTTCATAAATATTTTTAGTGCATTTTATTTCTTCAAAAGATTGCGTTTTTTACTACCCTGAATAATCTTGGATTAAAATTCGTTATTCCTTTTACCCGAATGTACCACTAAACATTATTGTTTTCTGATATGAAATGAGATTTCTACATAACAATACTGATATCTATTTGCAGTATGCGTATCTATTTATTATTATTCAACGATTCAAATTGTGTTTGGTGAAATAATGGAATGTTCTAGTGGATATGAGATTTTAGTGGGTGTATATATGTATATTGTGCATTAATCAGCTATCCTACTTTATCCTAAATTATGTAATTTTTGTAGATTTATTTGTAAACTGAAATGATGTGGACATTACATTAAGTGTTTGGAAATTGATCCTGTCTTTGTAAATGGCCAATGTGTCTTACTGTACCTAGCCTTTGAGATACTTTTTTATGTTGCCATACTTATAATTACAGGCTGAATAAAGTTCGGACAGATCTTACTGTGTCATCTGGGCATAAGAGATAATTTTATATTCATCAGTTATGATTAATTGATTGTTTCAAAGGACAGATTTTAAAATTAAAATATTCTTTCCAAAATTTTGGACTTTTAAAAAATAAGTTTTAATTTGTTTTCATCAGCTCTCCAACAGGAAATACGATTAGAGGTGGAATATACATGCATATGAAAATTTCAAAATGATTTGTAGTAAATTTTCATAAACTATATGTATAATGATATATAATTTTTTATGAATTGTTGATGTTCAAATACAGAAACTAGGGCAGGATGCCTCACTTGACACCGATCTTTATGTCGGAATTATACATTTGAACTAAATTTTCTTAAAAAGTATAGAGTCAGGTGATGATGAATTTATAACTAAATAAAATGATGTAATTTCATTTTTTCAAGAAAAAAAGGTCAAAGTGATTTTTGTATAAAAATGTACAATGATTGAAACTTTTAATTGAGATTAAAGCAAAGCTTAGAAATTTGTTACAATTCATCGAAATGGCCAGAGTATCAACAAATAAATTCATATAAAATCTACATAGATATCGATGTCAGTCATAGTTTCGCAGGCTTTAACAAACCCCATGGTCTGTTTTAACTATATTATGAATGTTTGTGATAGGGTTTTTGCAATATCTCACCTGTACCAACCAGTTCTAATGATTGTATTTGTTGAGGTTTGATTGGATGAGTGAGTGATATTGAAAATACCACATCATATATAATTTATTATATACTTAAATATTTTTTTGTCTTATGGGTTTTGATAAAGCCAGTACATACATGACTGATTTTGATATCATCTTGGATGGTGGATTCAGAACTACTCTCATGGGTTGTATTACACATAAAATTAAAGTGTATTTACTTCTATACATATATAATTATAAATACATATAACTTATACACAGCGACACTTTGAAAGTCTAAATATAAGTTTTACACAGTCAAGAATTTTGGTTCTCATTTAAGTATGGACAAAAATAAGTTTTGTCTTGATTGGTTCATGGACATTATTTATATAATAATGCGCTGACATTAGGTATTTAACAAGGTTGGGCGGTAAATACCGCCCCTGGTATTTACCAGCGGTATTTACCGCCCCGCACAATACTCCTCAAGTGGTCAATACTGGCAAATACTGGTCGATTGAAATTTTTATGGTGGTTTTTACTATTTATTGAAGAAAAAAAAATGCTAAAAAGTAAGATATATTTAAACTTTTATCTTTTGGCATGTTTCACTGATATAAATGAATGAATTTGATATGTATTATTCATTTTTAACACTTATATCTACTAATTTAGTCCTTATAAGTTATGATATTGCATATTTTAGATATATATAAAGAATTGACAAATTAATTATTACAACATTTTTCAATCAAGATATCTTTTATTGAAAATGCATAATTTTTACAGGTACATAAAACTACAGGTAAAAGAAGTAACAGGTGTCTTATAACCTATCACCTGGCATTGCTAGGTGTGAAAATTTAATTATTATAAAAACAACAGCCCCAATAAATGATGATAAAACATGTTTGAAAGTAATAAAAGTGATACTTGAAGACTCACTTAAACAATAAAATATCTCCTGTCTATTAAATGCGAGACAAAAATCATCTTTATGCAGGAAATGGAAGGTATGAAGGACCTTTACTCTTATGGCTGAACTGTAATTTATGTTTTAAACCAAAAAATATATAATGTAGTATAAATTTTACCTTTACATAATCAATATTTACATGATTTACATACACATAGTACAACCATCTTGACCTTAAGAACCAAACTGAAACCTGAAGACCCTATTTGGAATTTCTATACAATATAAGACAACAACAAAACCAGTGCAAAATGTAATGATTGCAATGCTATAGTCAGTGCAAAAGCCACCTGATGAGTTTCCTTGCCAGGGACGAAACATTTTTATCTTATGTACTAATAAATCATTGTAAATCCCTGTTTATTACGAATTTACAATAAAAATAGAAATGAGAACATTTAAAATGACTTTAACACTTTCATTATTTCATAACTAAAAGTAATTGACCAGGTACAGAGTGGTTTTAATAGTGAGGTCCACTCAAAATTTCAATCGACCAGTATTTGCCAGTATTTGTCGGTATTTACCAGTATTTACCGCCGGCATGGTGTCAATACTAGCCGCTTTTTTGCCAACCTTGGTATTTAATGATGCCTATAGTATTTTTAACATTGCCATATAAGCGGAAGGTTTAGCTAGCCATAAAACCAGGTTCAACTCACCATTTTATCTTAAAATGTCCTGTACTGTCAGGAATATGGCATTTGTTATCAAATAGTCCATTTCTATGTATGTTGGCGTTTGTTTTTGTAGCAGTTCAGTGTTTATGTTGTTCCGTTGTTTTCCTCTTATAGTTGATGTGTTTCCCTTGGTTTTGGTTTGTGACCCGGATTTGTTTCAGTTAAATCGATTTATGACAATTGAACAGCGGTATACTACTGTTGCCTTTATCTATAGTAATTTCTAATTTTAGTTTTCTATCAATTGAACTGCTTGAGCACAGCATTGTAAATTCTTGTACTTTTTTGGGACATATGAAATTTTCACTAAACTACAGAAGTCAATATTACAATATAAAACAGCATGATAAAGCATACTGTAACCTTTCTATCAGTTACTTCTTTTCTGTTATGTACTACTTTCTTTGCCATGCCCAAAGATAGATTCATTGATTGAATGGTGTTTAGTGTCACTTTCAGCACCATTGGCTATTTAATGACGGTAAACTTCTATTGGTGGAGGAAGTGGGAGTGCTAGAGAGAACCACCCACCTTTCGTAGGAAAACTGACAATCCTAGGCAATAAAGATTGGATTCAAACGAGCCTGCGTAAGATTGAGCTTGCATTATATTTTTATGCTGAAGCTAGAAAACTTCCTGAGGTCTGAGGTCTTCTAAATATAGTAACAAAGTAATATTTCCTTAAAAGTCATTATCATTTCACCCCCTTTCTTCTCAATTTTGGGTTTGTTTTAGGGTGGAAAATACGTTTTATTTTTGCATTTCCATTTGCCTAACTATAATTGTAGCCATTTTCAGTGTGCAGTATAAAAACATTATTGGGTCAATGCCAGAAAATATCAACATTTGTGTATTCACCATGAAAGTTGAAAGACTCTCTAAACCTCGTCTTTTTCCAGTTTCTAAGCTTCATACAAAAAGTTAATATATTTTTTAATGTTTATCTAATCTTATTATATATACTGGATTCTCACAAAGAGTTTGTGTATGCTTGTTGAATGCATATTTTGGACTCTATTTTCTGTCAAATTCCTGTCATTCTTAAAACTCCTATCCATGCTTAGTACTGGCAAATTTTAGTGTTCCAAAGTCAAAGCAGGAATCTACCAGATCAACAGAAACTATGTTTGATGCTAAAATTTTCCTTTCAGTACTGGTAAAAAAAACAGTTGACACACAATCAGGGAGGGAATAGGATGACATAATGCAATAGGGGTTTCAAATAATAACTAAAGATCATTTCATTTATAGTTTTAAAGGAGGTAACAAATCAAATTTAATGAAATCAGTATCGTACGGTGTAAACTAGTGTAACAATGAATAAATAAAAAATACCATGAGTGGTTTGCTTAATATGATGTTCCTTTGAAAGAATATATGATCAATTAACCTTTCACTTTGTGTCTTAAAAAATAAATCAAAAGTTTTAAAGGTTGCATTATTGTCACAGCCAATGCCAAAAAAACACAAAAGATGTACTGAAAGCCAGGAACACAAAATGACATCCCTACACTCACATAAGCCAACAGCAAAAGTTTGTCAAGCTTTTCATGAGCAAATGCAAATACAATCATGTCAGTGGTACTAGGTGAGCATTTCAACAATTAATGTCTCCAGTGATGCTCAAGACCAAAATATTTGAAAGTCAAAACCTAATAGAAACATTGAAGAGCTAGTATGTAGAAAAAGAACCAATGGTACTGCCCAACCCTGATATGAAAGTGACACAGAAGGAAAAACAGATAATGAGTGATGGCCTCCAGAAAGTTATAATGACTCTGGATCTGAATACTTGAGGGAATAGGAGTTAAAAAAAAAAAGTGATATAGACCTGGTTGCATTGCACTGAAGTTGCCTTCAAACATCATTTGAATTTCATAGAAAATATTTAGCTTAAATTTATTTTCATAAATTGGCATATTAAACCTTACATGTGTACTTTGGCATAGACAAAAGAAAAAACAATTATCATCAATTACTGGCAAAAAATTATATAAACACAAACATATCATAAAATAAATTAATTTATTCATAATTTTATACGCATTTAACAAATGTATGAGTTTCTATTTTCACAACCTAATAATATCTATTCTATATCATAATAAAGGATCCAACTTTTAACTTTTATTTCACATTCTTAGAACTCTTTAATATTCTTAATTCAAAACATGTTTTCAAATCTATTTAAAAAAAAAGAAATAAAAGGAACTCCTCTGAAATCAAAAATTAGCTACTGTTTGCAAAATCTAAATTTTGTTTTCTCTAAAATAATTTTCTTTCAATATTAACACAGTTGTTTCATATTTTTATATGGCATTTTGGAATCTATCATATTTTGGGTCAAATAGAGTCCTTAATGCTACTAGTCATTTGGAAAATGTGTGCTATATATTTGCACATTATTATATCCTATTCAGCAAAAGTAATTCATTTAGGAGCATTAATCATACCTTCAATAAAAATGTGAAAAATAAATTGATTAAGAAAAATTTGCACATATAAAACACAACAAGTTTATCAGATCTTCACAATAAAATGTAAATGTATAAATGTATAAAATAAATTTAGGACGGATATGATGAAGTATGATATACAAGTTTGACAATCCGATCAGACTTCAGTGAAATAATCTTTAACACAACAAATGTAATATCACACATGTAAACATATATAAACAATAGCACTGTTCATTCAGAATCATGTATGACAGGCACAGATCAAGGCTTTGATTTAGAGTTAAGAATTGGAGGATTGTATGGTGACGCAAAATTGGCTGTAAATTTTATTTTTTTTTGGGGGGGGGGGTTGCAAACGGTGCACCTTCACCTGAGCTGTACCTGTATGAGCTTATAATTTAACTAATGCTAGCTTGTTAAGATGAATCTGTTTAATTCAAACTTAATTATGTAAAGTGAATGGAATTTTAACAATAAACAATAAAATATCAAATAGTTTGGTTTTTTTTCACATTATCATACCAAAAATGCAAAGAAATGAACTTAGTTAAAAATTCTACTGGCTTTTAGCTTGTTCAGTTGTATAATGTTTGAGTAATTTTTATAAAGTCACATTACTTTAAGTAGATTTAAAATTACACACACATATATATATATTTATATCTATCTATATAAAGATGCACATCATATGTATTTACATATACATAGATCTCTATCTCTCAATATGTTCTTAAATCTTATCTTTTTTGTGATACATATATCAGCATTCATTTGTATTTCGTAATTAAATGAAGTCAGTTTAAGAATTGTTACTCTTATTTTTTCCAAATGGCACTGTTCATTGATTCCAAATCGTGTGACCTATGGAATGTTGATGCGTATATGACAGCACTATGTAATCATATTATATTAAAAATCTTTGGTCCACCAATGTTTTCTTGGCGAGGTTCATTCTTCCTCCACTGTCTCTTCCCATTGCAATCAACTGTAAAATATAATGCATTCCAATCATATATGTAATGGACTAGTAATTTACAGCTGAGCCTTGTTTTAAATGTTGTCATTTTCGTTATTCACACCATGTGTTTATAGAGTGCAATTATCTCCTACATAGAAAACAACATTCGACATAGTACCCACTAGGTAAAGGAGGCATAATTTTTAATCTCTGCTAAAAACTTAAAGACTGATGCATTGTCAGAATAAGAAATAACATTCATAAGCTACTTATAACCTAGTTAGTACTGCTTTAAAAAAATATAAAAATACAAAGAATTTCCAAAAATCTTCATACTTATGTATACAAGAGTGCACACGCTAAAATGTCTCGCCTTCTTTACTGACAATTGACTTTATGTTGATAGTCCTTAATATAAACTTTACTACAAGTAACACATAAACTTAACATGATCCAAGAAAATGAGGTTAAAGTCAGATTAACCAAGCCAAAAAATACATGTACAACTTACAATCATTCCATACACCAAATATAGTTGACTTATTGATTATAGTATACAAGAAACAGACCAAACCCTGAAAGTTTTATATTGACCAATGAACCATGAAAATGAGGTCAAGGTCAGATGAGCCCTGCTAGACAGACATGTATACCTTAAATTCATTCAATGCATTACATATAGTTGAATATTGCATATGGTATCTAAGAAACAAACTTAACAAGGAAAACTTAACATTGACCAATGAACCATGAAAATGAGGACAAGGTCAGATGATACCTGCCAGACAAACATATACATCTTACAATCTTTCCATACACCAAATATAGTTGACCTATTGCTTATAGTTTAAGAAAACCAGACCAAAACACAAAAACTTAACATTGATCAATGAACCATGAAAATGAGGTCAAAGTCAAATAAAACCTTCCAGACTGACATGTACATCATAAAATATTTCCATACAACAACTATAGTTGACATTTTGCATACAATATTAGAAAAACAGACCAAAACACAAAAACTTAACTTTAACCACTGAACCATGAAAATGAAGTCCAGGTCAGATGACACCTGTCAGTTGGACATGTACACCTTAAAATCATTCCATACATCAAATTTAGTAGACCTATTAGTTATAGTATCTGAGATATGGACTTGACCACGAAAACTTAACCTTGTTCACTGATCTACGAAATGAGGGTGAACTCAAGTGAAAACTGTCTGACAGCCAAGAGGACCTTGCAAGGTAAGCACATACCAAATATAGTTATACTATTACTTATAATAAGAGAGAAATTAACATTACAAAAAATCTCAACTTTTTTTCAAGTAGTCACTGAACCATAAAAATGAGGTCAAGGACAATAAACATATGACAGACCAAAACTTCATAACATAAGGCATCTATAAACAAAGTATGAAGCATCCAGGTCTTCTAGCTTCTAAAATATTAAGCTTTTAAGAAGTAAGCTAATGCTGCCATTGCCGCTGGATCACTATCCCTATGACGCAGACTAGACAATAAAACAACACGCAGATGTGAATATTTACTCAGGTTGACTTTGCAAATTTAAACAATAACATTATTTTTTATGCATCAAATTCAAGTTTTATTATATTTAAAAAATTTGTCAAGAAGCCGTTGCTGATGAAAAAAATACATTTTCAAACAGGCATATCAACAGAGATTTACATATGAAATATTTGTAACAAAAATAAAAATAAAAAAACATGGAACAAAAAGGTATTAAAATTTTTACCAAAGCCTACCTGCCAGCTTTTGAAAATCCCCATGGGGGTTTTAATGCGTGTCACAACAATTTCAAAGGTTACATTTATTGAGGCGTTTTTTGCATGCACTGTTTTGTGCTCTATAAAAAGTGGCATATCTTTTTTTTTTATATGGTATACTGATAAGCTTATAAGTCTTTTTCTTCTTTTTCTTTGCATAATTCTAATACTTATATTTTTGTGTAGAATGAGGACGAAGTCAAGTGAAGGAAAGATGAACATGTATAGCTAGAATAGCAGGATATATTTTCTGGTGTAGGAATATTAAAGTGATTGTTGTTTTTTCCGATTTAAAAATATGCACAAAGAAGAACATTTATCTGATTTCTTGTGAAAAAATAAAAGAAAGTACACTGTACTTTAAATTATTTGGTAATTTAATTACAAGAATAATTATTTGGTAATTTAATTACAAGAATGACAACACTGTATGATCTGTTACAATAAGTGTAATGTCCATAAGCTACTATTTATTATGTTTATGGTAGTATTGCATCTTTGGATTTTGTCCATGCTTTGCTTCTTAAGCTGTGTAAGAACCTTTTTGCAGATGAAAATTCATCTGCAATGATCAAGATTTTTACAATTCTGACATACAGAGCACTACTACTCTAATGTTCCAAACAAGTTCATAATTTAGCATGTTTGCAATGCCCAATAATCACAAAAAACCACAATTTTGATTGGCTGTTCATGATTGTTTCCTGATTGTCTCATCATTTTTTTCATGTAGAATTTCACAAAATGTGTTTTAGGGCTTTTTTCATGATCACGATCGTCCAATCGTGACAAGGAGTCAAATTCGTGTAGTTCACGCCTAAATCATGAAAATAGGCAGGTATGCCTAAAAAAGGTTTTTACATATATCTCAGCACTATTAATTCATCCTTATCAACAGTAAACATTTGAATTAATGTATGCATTTATCAAATAATTGTAATTTAAATCTTACCTCTGTGATTAGATATGTGAGCACTCCAGCCAGAACAAAATTTTGAAATATCAGATCTATTATACAGAATAGTAGTGTATCAAATACCACCAAGGCTGATTCGTTACCATAAAACAAAGCTCTGTCAAACGAATGACCATCATCTATATAAAAAAAAAACACATAAAGCTCCATTGATTTCAAGGCCCCCCAAAATTGTAAATTCAGAAATATTCATTATGATATGAATATTGCAAAAATTGGGACGAGATAGGTTTTGCAAATTGAAAAAATAATTGGATTAAATTTTGATAGCATTATTTGTATCCAGCATTTCCTGAAATTGCAATAAGTATTCTGGCATTTTTGTAAATTGTCATTAAAAAAAATATCAGTTACCAAGTTTAAAAATCTGAACATCAGTATCATTTATCTGACTTTTTGATATCAGCCCAAGAGCCGAAAGGAATGTAATGATCTTTTTATCGTATACCTTAGCAGAAGAAATACAGACAAGAACTATTTTTAAAACATTGAAAAAATGCATTTGTGCTATTATTTGTTTTGCATTTTTCATGATATTTGTCCAGTTTCCTAATATTTGTTTTTTTCTAGCCTACTTTGATATGTTTTTCACTAAAAACGTACTATTGAGGTAAATTTTTGGGAATTTGCTGAGTGACTTTGAAATGCCATGCGATAATGTTACAGAAAGGCATGCGATAATAGCCAGTCGCAGTTAATAAATTTTTCGTATCAGCCTGCTAAGCACCATTTTGAAAAATATGGAATTAACATAAATTTAATGCTATTATCAAACTGTATAAATTATAAGTTATTTGCTCTTAGTATAAGATAAATTGATATATGCAACTGAGAAGAATCTTTATCAAAAAAAGTCCACAGTTGTATACTAATGCAAAGTATGTCAACAGTTACCAACATTTGAATGTCATCCTTATATAACAAGAACTCTATGGTTTTCTAGAGTAACATTTTCTAATAATTTAATTTTGGATGTAACATTTCTTATGATTGGCTAAAAGTTTTTTGTCTATCAGCTCATAGACATAATTTTGTCATGTGACCTTTTTTCATGATTTACTCGAAATAACCTCAAAAACCTCATGATTTATTCGAAATATTCTCAAAAATGTGGTGCACACTTTTAAATAATCCACTACACGGGTTATTCAGGGTGTACCACATTTTTGATGTTATTTCTTCATAGAGAGAAAAAATATTCCAGTCATTCCTTAACTGAAACACAAAGTGACATAAAACAAGATTTCTATGCAGTAACTAAATGTCGTTGCTGTTGTATAAGTTATAACTGTGAAAAACGGTTATAAGGAGTGAGCATGCTGTAATGGGCTAGGGATATACAAAGTTCAACAACTCCATCAAAAATTGTCAAATCAAAATGACAGTACAGAATGGTCATCTACACATGATAACAAACAAATTCTTCCCATTTTTGGGATTACTTTGGTAAACGTTAACCACAAATGTATATATTCAACAAAGTACAAATTTTCTATAGACTTATTTGCAAACTCAAGAAAATATATTTTTTCATCATTCCACGATTGCATGAAAATGGATACCAATGAAAATAAATTAATCCACAGTATATTACATTAATATAACATACATTTTTAAAAACAAAACAGGTGCATACAACACTGATGGTCGTCTTGCACAAATATTTAGAACTCAAAGTAAAAAAAATCTTATGTTGTTTGCCTATTGGACATACCATTATAGAATATTCCTTTCTCTGAAGCATCCAGAAATTCTGTGTCCATAATACTCTCTAAAAGTGTTTTGTCTTTGACCACATAGTCTATTTCTTTTAATGACTGTAATTAAAATGTAAATTATAAAATTCATCTTTTGTCTTGCACTGATTAACTGTCAAAAATAAGCAGCCTATCGTCTTGAGTCATGTATAGGTATGTCTAAGGAGGGAAGTCAGCTGATACATGATGAGGCAATGATACAATCAAATGTCAAGTTTTTAAGGATCACTTCATTATTCAATCAAGTTAATGTCAAGTTTTTAAGGATCACTTCAATATTCAATCAAGTTAATGTCAAGTTTTTAAGGATCACTTCAATATTCAATCAAGTTAATGCCAATAGAAATTTCTATAGAACAATCTAATAATTGGTGTTAAAAATTATTTGTGAAATATTGTTATTAAGAATAAACAAGAGTGCACACGCTGAAATGTTTCGCCTACTATAATGACCATTGATTTTATGTTGATAGTCCTACATATAAACCGATAAAGTTTTACTACAAGTATCACATTAACATTTATGATCCAAGAAAATGAGGTCAAGGTCAGAAAAACCAAGCCGGAAATACATGTACATCTTTAATACAATCCCTCCATACACAGAATATAGATGACCTATTGCTTTTAGTATAAAAGAAACAGACCAAACCATGGAAATTCTATATTGACCAATGAACCATGAAAATGAAGTCAAGGTCATTTGAACCCTGCCAGACAGACATGTACACATTAAAATCATTCCAAATATAGTTGACCTATTGCTTAAGGTATCTAAGAAAAAAAGTTAACCAGGAAAACTGAACATTGACCAATCAACCATGAAAATGAGGTGAAGGTCAGATGATACCTGCCAGACAGACATATACACCTTACAATCATTCCATACACCAAATATAGTTGACCTATTGCTTAAAGTGTAAGAAAAACAGACCAAAACTTAACATAAGCAATGAACCATGAAAATGAGGTCAAGGTCAAATAAAACCTGCAAGACTGACATGTACATCATTAAATATTTCCATACACCAAATATGGTTGACCTACTGCATACAGTATTAGGAAAATAGACCAAAACACAAAAACTTAACATTTAGCAATGAACCTTGAAAATGAGGTCAAGGTCAAATAAAACATGCCAGACTGACATGTACATCACAAAATATTTCCATACACCAAATATAGTTGACCTACTGCATACAGTATTAGAAAAACAGACCAAAACACAAAAACTTAACATTGAGCAATGCACTGTGAAAATGAGGTCAAGGTCAAATAAAACTTGCCAAACTGACCAAAACACAAAAACTAAACTATGACCACTGAACCATGAAAATGAGGTCAAGGTCAGACGACACCTGCCAGTTGGACATGTACACCTTACTATCATTACATACACCAAATATAGTAGACCTACTGCTTATAGTATCTCAGATATGGACTTGACCATGAAAACTTAACCTTGTTCACTGATCCATGAAATGAGGTCGAGGTCAAGTAAAAACTGTCTGACGGGCATGAGGACCTTGCAAGGTACGCACATACCAAATATAGTTATCCTATTACTTATAATAAGAGAGAATTTAACATTCCAAAAAATCTGAACTTTTTTTTCAAGTAGTCGCTGAACCATGAAAATGAGGTCAAGGACATTGGACATGTAACTGATGGAAACTTCGTAACATGAGGCATCTATATACAAAGTATGAAGCATCCACGTCTTCCACCTTCATACACATAAAGCTTTTAAGAAGTTAGCTAATGCCGCTGCCACCGCCAGATCACTATCCCTATGTCAAGCTTTCTGCGACAAAAGTCGCAGGCTCGACAAAAATCTGTCAAAGTTCATGTATATAGAATTAATACTTTTCAATTTGATCTTTATACAAGGAAATACCTTATTACTAAAATAGCATGCAAAGAGAATCTTTAAATTAAATTTTTAGATACATAAAATTTAAATTTGGATAACCTCCAAGAATTTTTTTTTTTTTTTTAACTTTTTGACAATTGAAATATTTTAAGAAATTCAGGAGTAGACACTGTTATTCATTTATTTAGTGATACACATGTATATCAATTTCAATAGTTGAAGAACACTTTGTGTTTTATTGCTAACAATGTATCAATTTTACTTTGTATCAATTTATTAATACAAATTTCTGTGGAAAAATGTTTGTTTAAATTATTTTAATTAATGATTACAGACTGCCACAGAACATATGAACAAGATAGATAGAATATGAAACATAAGTAAAAGCAACACTTTTCAAAATAAATCTTAAAAATACTCAAAAGTTGTTTGTAAAAATTCTTTGATTTAAACGGAATGTAAACAATAGCATAATCCCTTACTAAGAATATATTTTACATACATTCTACTTCTCTACCCCTGGATAGATGGCTCATTTTTGTAAACAGAGACCCTCAGCCTGTTACCTCAACCAGCAAGTAATAGTAATAAAACATTTATATGTGTGAAAAAGAAAGAAAAGATAACTGTACACAGATTGATGATACATAAGTGTATTTTATTTACTCACATGATCTACAAATCCAGCAAGGAATTTATTTACAACATTATATGCCTGAGTCTTTGCACTAATTATAGCATCTTTTGATTTCCCAGCAGCCCCCACTGCACCAGCTCCCTGTAAATATTCATGCAACATTTTACTTCAGAAATTATTGTCTATAAAGAGGTTTAAAGACACTTTTTAATTCTAATTAACCATGCATAGAATTTCAATTGAAATTTACCAACCACTAATCAGAAAGTTTATCAGAAGTGCGTTTTGACTCTTTTTCATACTAACATTTCATCTAAACATTAAAGGCCTAGATGCAACAGGGAAGTCATTTCTAATTCAACAGGTTTGAAAATTTTCATTGGTATTTTTTGGTTTGAAAAATGATATTCAGAATGTCCCATGCAAAATGGATTAATTTATAAATGAATTGAATAAAATTTTGTTTTTGGCTAATTGTGAAATTTAATTGTTAGTAAAAATATTTTCACCTTATCTGTCATGTCTAGAACCCTCCTGAAATGATCATTCTTTGAAAATTTATTTTCAAGCATGTAATAGGTAGCATGATCAAAACTGCAGTTTCAAGGGTAGAACTGTTTATAAGTCCCTACAGCTTCTGTTTTAGGGCTGTTACAGATTTAAATGCAGGGGGATGGGAGGAACTTTTTTTAGACCCGAACCACCCATAATATAAAATTCTCAATTCACCTAAAATTCTAACAAAATTCTAAAAAAAAATGCAATTACCCATATTCTGAGTGCCTCCAATCCCCGGCCCATGCATTTAGATCTGGAACAGCCCTTTGATAAAACTTTTAAACATAACTTTATTGTTATTTCTATATCTACAAATGGATTCTGTGCACAAGTTCAATATTGAAAATGATTTAGATCTAGAGCGGTAGCCCGAGTTTTTAATATATTATTTCTGACATTGATATAAAAAGGTATATAGAAGTGCAGAAGAAGAATAATCTTTCAAATGGTTAAATATCCAAAACAATAGTTTTTTTTAAGTTACATAATATATAGATCTTAATTTTTTTAATGTCCTCTCTTATGCTTACCTCTAAAGCCACAGGTAACATTACTGTCTCATACTTGACTCTTAATTTTCGTGGTAATGCCATCATAAATGTCTGTTGCTCTGTATCTGGTAAAAGTCCACGCTTTCCACAAAGATCTTCCTGCATTTCAAAAAGTATGGAACTAATTTATAAATTCATATTGTTCATACTTCTCACTATATCTATAGAAATATTTTGTTTAAACATATCTTAGTAAATAGCAACTTAATACAATCACCAATGTTTCTCTCTTTCCTCTTTCTGCATTTTTCAAATGTTTTTATGTCACTTTAAAAATAACCTATAAAGTAACTTTGTTTGTATTTTCAATCTTCTACATGTTTACCCTTTACAGTACTGTAAATTCAGAAATTATTGCGATGTTTTTATTATTGCGAAAACTGCGACAGGGTTATAATCGCAATAATTTAAACTCATATTTTGAAATTTTTTATATGAATTAAACAGGATTTTTCTCAATAACGCAAAAATTAAAATCGCATTTTAGTCTGAAATGACAAAATCGCAATAATAAATGCACGCAATAATTTCTGAGTTTACAGTATCCTACCGTAGTCTATGATCGGTCATAACGTTGGTTCGTTCGGATTTTGTTATTGTACTTATCACACGGGAAAACTCCGCATTGACGTCACTACGCTAATACCAGCGTATAAAATTAGTGCAGAATACATTTTTTCTACACTTCTAAATAAAATGATATTTCTAAAGATATGTTTTCATTATTATTCTTAAGTATTGTACAAAAATGCAGATTTTCTAATGGCCATTTCAAACCTGACTTCCGAATGCCTAAAAGCATTTCAGAACTTAAGAAAACCCCTCTTCCGGCCTCCATTGCTTTGTTTACATTCCATTGAGCGTCATCAATCTTAATGGCAGACCAAACAGGCCAAGCAAATCGTATTTTTAAGAATTTCAAAATGGCAAGCACCTTACGTCTTCCGCGATTTTTCCGCGAAAAAAAACATCCAAATTGAAAGAAAAACTTTGGGAAACAAACGATAATCATGCCATGTTTTTGTTCAGGAATATAGAGTAGGTTAAGAAAAAACAATATACATATATTTTTCATAAAAAAAAAATTTGGTTTAATATAAAGAGATCGATATTCTGACCATAAGTAAATATTCATATAAAATTCCATTGATGTCAAATTTCATGGCTAATAATGAGTTTTCCTATTGAATAATCCCCCAATTTATTGCAAACTATTTCAAAGCAATATCATACAAACAAATAATATAATTGCCTTGTACTAAAAAATCACCTAATTGACAGTAGAGCAATTTGATTGGATATAACGATTCAATGTGTCACGTGGTTTTGAAGCCATTAGAATTTGAATGTAAACAAACCGGGTCAGCTGCTCCCGTATGGAACAACATCGTACATTCAGTGACTGAGAAACAATTATGAGTAACCAAGCTTGACAATACACAGTAATAAAAAAACAAAACTAAGTCGACAGAAAAATAAAATAAAAAATGGCCTTAAGTGCACGACTTACCACCATTGCGGGATATATTATTTTACAGTTTGTATTGATTTTATCTTTCTTCTTCAATAGTGTGTTTCAGTAAGCTTTTTCATCTGCCTCTATATTTATTATAATGAGGATTTTCTTATTTACAGATGTTTCTTTTTCCATTCTACTTCATATCAGTCTAGTTTTTTTATTTCAGCATTTCACTTTTCTATTTGTGGTATAATACTTTTATCAAGTCTGTTTTGAAATCTTTCTGTTACTGAAACCTTAATCTGAACCTACCCCTAAACATAACCCTTATCCAATCCTAATCTTATTATACCAGGTATGCCTTTCACAAAAATCTTAGGACTAAAATTGATTATAAATATATCGAGTTGTTCATGACATCAGAGTAATTTTTGTTGTAAGATTTTTTATGAAACAAAGGCCAAGACCCCTAAAAAGATTGAACCTCCATAATATGTACCTCCTCTCTCCTCATCATATCAAACATATCTCCCATGTTGGTATCAGCTTTCCCATGCACTGATTTTCCATGGACATAATATCCAAACTGAGCATGTGCCATTACAAACACACTGATGTTACTCATAGAGCAAAGATCCACAAATTGTCGAACTTTATCTTCAACAAATCTCTCATATATCAATGTGAAGAAAATCCACTGACAAATGGCTACAGAGAAAAAATATTTTATATATAGATGTACATTGTAATTGGTTATTTTATGGAAATGTTTATAGACTTCATCTCCAACTCATGCCAAAAAATGTAAAAGAAAAAACAATGCTAAAACTCAGTTCTTATGATAGCATGATTAAAATTATTATTTAAACTTGCAGATTTTTGTGACATATATATACAGATCAAAGTTTTAACTTATCAGCATATTTCAATCAAATTTGAAATAAAATGAAGTTAAAGATGGTTTTTCTTATGTTTAACAAGCTAATTTAGGATTTTTCCAACAAAATAATTTGAAAATTAAGAGCATTTCAACATCAATGGTTATGAAAACAATATTTTACCCAAACAAATTTGTCATTCATACATACCAACTAAAATATAAACTGATGCTCCTATGGCATATCTGAACATAGTACTATCTACAGCCCTGTATGAAGTTGTATCTTTAATGATCCTGCCATCTGGATCTTTGGTCGCAACATTTTCAAACCCAACAACATTCAGGAAGAAAATAACAGCAAAAATCTGGAAAATCTGATTAATTTTTCTTAGTGTCTGAATTTCATTCCATTCATTTGCTACAAAATAAGTACGCCAAATAGACACATTACTTCCTGTTTTCTTTTCCGAGGTAGCAACCATATGTTTTGGTCTTTCCCAGTCGATTAAGAATACATCCGCTGTACACTGCATGATTATCATGTGAGCCATCTGTAAACATTTCAAAGCAAATCCCGTTCCAAACAATGCCAGCCATTCACGTTCTGCTAATCCTGTGATATGGAACAAGAAAACTGTATTTTGTCCCTACAAAAAGAATTAAAGTTTATAAATTGTTTAATATAAGCATATAAAAGGCATATCCATCCATGAAATGTAAAAAAAAGAAGATATTTTTCAAATCTGTTGAAAGTAAAACGGTTGTATTTAATTTACTTAACATTTGAATTTATACCTCTTTTACTACTATAAAATATAAATATGACAATTTTCTTATAAGTTATAACTAGACATAAATTGTAAGAAAACATAAAACAACTTCTTTATGAACAGATTTACCATTTGAAAGCAGGATAATCCATTAAGCATATGATTTGTATATTAAGCTTATCCATTTTCAAGAATCATAATAAGAAATGTATAATTCCATAGACAACTTTTTAAAAAAAAAATAAGTCACTTTTGCAATATTATTATATCTTAGTGGTGAATTATACCAGCTTAACAAACGAAAACTGTTCAGAAAACAACCTTTTTCTAAAGTTTAGTGGTCCTTATAACAAGATAATGGTTGATATGTGAAGGAATTTGTGATCATTGCCATACCCACATTGTGTAAAGGGAAACAACTCCAGTTAAAATTATGTGAATGGAAAACCATCTATTATTCCGGGGTTTCCACGATACAATTTGATAGAAAATCAATAATCAGCTGATTGCATTTTATAGCTATTGGCAACATGTGGACTAATTAATAAAGGTGTTGATTGTATTGTTTAATAAAATGGGGTTAAATGGCTTCAAATGTCATCTAAATGTTTGAAGCATAGTTTTACATCTCCTCATTTTCTTTTAACGATGGTCCGCAAAAAAAATTGCTATTGTGATGAAAAATGTTCAAAAAATCTCTGACTTTGATAGAAGTGATTGTTTTCAAGTGGGTACTTTCCAATCGTTTTAGCGGCACACGTGTTTGGCCCATAAAAAAAATATGTTATGAAAAAAAATAATCAAAAGTAAGAAAAAATCTGACATTAGTCTTTATACTTCAACTAGTCGGGAAGTATCGAATAAACTTATTGAAGATTACTTCCGTGTTCCCAGAAGTAAAAAATTATGATTTCATGATCTATTTTGCATTTTACTGTATATTTTAAAAAGTAAATGTTTGTTATAATTGATTGTTTATTTATTACAATGTAGATTAAAAAATAGATATGTAGAATTAAAGAAATAAAAAAAGAAGGAAAATTTTTAACAAAAAAATATTTTCATGTTAGTCGGCGAAAAAAATTAAAAGTGGCGAAAAATATATTGTTTTGGCAAAAGAGGTGGCGAAATAGAATATTTATCCAAGGGAAACTCTGTATTTATCACACTGACCTTGAAGAATGTCAGGAAGTAGAATGCTATACCAAATGTAATCACAAAGAAGACATTAGCCAAAGATCCTGATACAAAGAACAAGAAATTGATGATCGTCTGAAAGTCTATTGCTGGTTTTCCCGCTCTTTTTGACCACACCCATGTCCTGTAACCAGCATAGATAATACTCAGGGTTGACAGTGTTCCTACAGAAATCTGAAAATCTCGTCTGTATTTGTCAGTTGAATATTCATAATCAACTGAAAACGATGTCTGAAAATGAAATATGTACAATGGGACAATTAATTAATCAGAATTAAATATGTATGTCACATAATTTTGATATTTCTTAGTACAATCTAATTAAGATAAAATGCTTCGCTGAGCGCAGCTGGATACGACAGCAGAGGTCCAACCCTGAACAGTTGGGGTGAAAATGGACACAATATTTGCACTTGATACAGGTCTGTATTTGGATTGTAATTAAATATTTGACAAAAATTAGGTTTCTGACATCAAATAACTGTAGTCAAAGAACTTAGAATTGGTTATATGATTTGAATTTATATTCAATTTTTTGCTTTTGTGACATACACTATGCTGTTGCGTATTGACCCCCCCCCCCCCCCAAAAAAAAAAAAAAATTTGTTTGTACAATTTTGTTTTTGGATTACCTCCCATACACTGCTTTTAAATTGTCCATTAACCAGAAAGAGAGATCCATACACTTAAACACAAGTTATTGTCTGGAAGTTACAAAAATGCTTATTTCTGGCCCCTAATTCCTTAACTTTTGGTACCATAACCCCCAAAATCAATCCCAACCTTCCTTTTGTGGTATTAACCCTTATGGTAAAATTTCATAGAGATCCATTCACTTAAACTAAAGTTATTGTGTGAAAACCAATGTGTCTTCGGATGACGACGACAACGACGATGACACCAACGTCATACCAATATACGATTTTTGGGGTCGTATAAAAAACAATTCCCCATCAATAATTTTCTTAAAAGATATTCAAATGATATTTGAACATAATGCATTTTTAATCCATGTATGCACACAAAGAAATAGTATGCAAATGCTGCCTACAAATAAATGTGGATAGTGTCCACATGTGGACACAGATGATGCCCCCACTTGCATATCATATAGTTAGAAAGGGACATAACTAAAGAACGGTAAAAGTGACGATACCCAAATTTGAACTTGATCTGAGTTTTGTGGTAATAAGCATTGTGTGTAAGTCTCATAACATTTGGTTGAGGCTAACTTAAGTAGAGAACAGAAACTAAAAATTCAGCAATTTTTCTATTTGTAAACACGCATAACTCTAGAACAGTTGTGTATAAGTTTTATAACATTTGGTTGAGACAAACTAAAGTTAGAGAACGGAAACAAAAAATTCAGCTATTTTAATGTTTATAAAGGGACATTACTCAAGAATGGTAAAAGTGTCGCCACCAAATTTCGTACTTAATCTGTATTATGTAGGAATAAGCATTGTGTATAAGTTTCATAACATTTGGTTGAGGCAAACTAAAGTTAGTAAACAGAAACAAAAAATTTGTACTTGATCTTAGTTTTATGGTAATGAATATTGTGTAAAGGTTTCATAATGTTTGGTTGGGGCAAACTTAAGTTACAGAATGGAAACTAAAAATTTTGCAATCTTTCAATTTATAAAGGGGCATAACTCAGTAATGGTTAGAGTGACACTACCCAAATTCAACTTGATCTGCATTTTATCAGTGGAAGTCAAAATTAAACATTGCATTGTATAAAGCATTGATTGTAGTTAATTCAACTATAATCATGGACAAAGGAAGATAACTCCAATTTTAAAAATTACTTGATATTCAGAAGAAAATAAAAATTTTGCAATTTTTCCATTTATAAAGGGGCATAACTCAAGAACGGTTAAAGTGACGCCACCAAAATTCAAACTTGATCTGTTTTGGGGTAATAAGCATTGTGTATAAGTTTCATAACATTTGGTTGAGGCAAACTCAAGTTAGAGAACGGAAACCAATTTTGGAAAGTACGTACGTACGTACAGACGGACAAGGGTAAAACTTAATGCCCCCACCACTACGGCGGGGGCATAAAAATAATCCTTCCACCTCAGGGCAACATGTAACCATATTGAAAACCTCTTCTCTTATGGGCAAACAGATAAAAAGATACTGTAAATTCAGAAGTTATTGCGAGGTTTTTATTAATGCTAATATTACGACTGGGTGATATTGCAATAATAAGAACTTGCATTCTGATATCCGATACATTTTCCTGAAGTCGCATTAATCAATCTCGCATTTTTGTCCTTTTTTTTAAAAAATCGCAATAACAAATGCATGCAATAATATCTGAATTTACAGTAATATAAAATCAGAAATAGGTGTATAACTTCAAATAGTGTAGTCCAGCCTGAGCATGGATTAAGATCAATTGCTGATAAACAACAATGTAACAAAAACAAATGATGCAGATGAGAGATCCTGTACCACAACCCATTAAGATAAATACCTAACACTCCAATAAGTACAGTTTGTAAATCAGTAGCCTAGTTTACAAATCAATAATCACTAGAAAAATTCTCTCCACCCAATCATTTTGGTTTTTTCCATTCAACTTCAACTTTATTGGAACCTCGGGACTTCATTCATGTGTCACGCATAAATATAACACAGTGATATCAACATAGTGTTTACATAGATTACAAAATTGTAGTTTTGGCAACATGGTCCACTGAAGTATAAACCAGGGCAGAAAATAATAATAGACCAATCACATCCAAGTATTTGTTAATATGTAAATCATATATAAGTTATTCACTAAAGATATGTACCGATATTGATGCTCCCTGCTGTGCATCCACAAGAGACACGGTTCCATAAGTGATAGAGATATATGGTGGGAAAATCTGGCCTGTACTAGTACTTCCTACTAACTTGAGATTCATACTTATAGACTTCACATATCTGACATAATCTGGCTGAGCACCAGCTGTTGTTGCTGCTCCTAAAAACAAACATTCAGTTAAGGTTTTATATCTCTATACCAGTAGTAATAAAGGACAACTATTGTTAAGATTAGTGATTATCTTTATCTTAAAAGTTTTGTTAATTTGATGTTTATGGTAGATAGTCTCTGTTAAAGGAGTAGGTTAACGAAGGGTTAAAATTGACCATCAGATTTTAATTTTTTTTTAAATCAGGTCAAGATACTACAAATTTCACATAGAAATATTTGTATTACTATTGATATAAAATAACTTCTTTTTGACACATCACATTATAAAATAACAAAGAAATGACTCCTTAATTGTGCAGAATTTGTGTTGTAAAGTCAGTTTTGGTCCAATCTCACCAAAACATATAACAGTTTTTAGCATAAATTACTATGGCTGCAACTCCTGATCCAGAAAATGTTTGTGTCCAGAGATACATTATAATGATTGGTACCTTTTGGTTAAAGAACATTTTATGTCTGAAAAATGCACAAAATCATTGTATTTTGACAATATATTCAAAATGTGCTGACTTTGGAGCCTATAATGTACTCTGATGAAGAATATTTGCTTTTATCCAGCAATAAGGATTTTGAAATAGATCAATTCAAGAAACAAATTACGGGCCTTTGATGTTTAATAATATAAGTTTAAATTCAAGGCCATATTTGGCCAAAAGTGAACCTTGTCCTTTCACAACTGATCTAGACTTTGGGCGATTTAGAGCTTGACATACTGTAAACATGCATAATTTTGCTGGCTGTTATTATTGACAATTACAATAATAATCAATATTAGTTTATTTTACACAGAACAATAACTGCACCTTTCATATCAATATTGGTTAATTAAACAGACTATTCATGAAGGGAATATCTCATTGAATTTTTACATGATTGCCAAATTAGCATTAATAGCCTCCAAATCAAAGTTCAACATTTACAGTATCAAAGACAGTTTCTATTGTTAAGGACTATTTTTTGACATTTACAGTATTATTAACAGTTGCTGAGGACTATATTTTGACATTTGGATGTCTAGATGTTTCTGGTGTTGCTGTCTTATTGATGTGGGCCCCACATTTGCTCTTATTCATTGTACAATTCAGAAAAATAAAACTGAAAGAGATGCATAAATCAGCTCTTGTTGGTGGGGAGATTAAAGATATTAATATTTTCATTTCCAGATTTTAATGGTAAAAGTTGTGTTTCGTAATGTTAATATGTATCATCTAATAAAATGCTCCGCTGGGCACAGCTTGATACGACCGCAGAGGTCGAACCCTGAACAGTTGGGGCAAGTATGGACACAACATTCAAGCTTGATACAGCACTGAATTTGGATTGTAATTAAATATTTGACACAGCATAGGTTTCTGACACAGAATGAATGTGGTCTAAGAACTTAAAAAATTTTAATTTACCTATTCAACCATATCATTATTATTTGCTTTTATATATAAATCAGAAATAACCAATTTAAAATGGAAAATTTTAAAGAAAAAAAATTCGTAAGGGTTCCGCGGAACCCAGTGTCTCGCCTACTTTTTCTGTTAATCGCAGGCTCAACAAAAATGAGGAAGTAAATCAATAAAAATATTCCTCTTGATACTATCTTTTGATTGTAAGAAGCTTCTTTCCAAGTTTGGTAAAAATCCAGGATAGTTTATGAATCTAATAAATGTTTAAAAACTTTAACTGCAGACTGAATGTAATGTTAACTGGAAGAAAACAAATTTTCCTTCTAGATACTAGCATTTGATCATAAACAAGCTTCTGTCCAAGTTTGGTACAAATCCAAAATAGTATAAGAAAGTTATTAAAATTTTAAAAACTTTAACCACAGAGTGAATATGTTGTTTCCTGGCAGAAAATCTAAAATTTAAAAGTAAAATACAGAAAAAATTGATTTATTTTTTTACAAAATTTCCTTCTAGATACTAGCTTTTGATCATAAACAATCTTCTGTCCAAGTTTGGTACAAATCCAAATTAGTACAAGAAAGTTATTAAAATTTTAAAAACTTTAACCACAGAGTGAATGTGTTGTTTCCTGGCAGAAAATCTAAGTCCATTTAAACGTAAAATAAGAAAAAAATGGATTTATTTTTTTACAAAATTTACTTCTAGATACTATCTTATGTTCATAAACAAACTTCTGTCCAAGTTTGGTACAAACCCAGGATAGTTTAAGAAAGTTATTAAAATTTTAAAAACTTTAACCACAGAGTGAATGTGTTGTTTCCTGGCAGAAAATCTAAGTCCATTTAAACGTAAAATAAGAAAAAAATGGATTTATTTTTTTACAAAATTTACTTCTAGATACTATCTTATGATCATAAACAAACTTCTGTCCAAGTTTGGTACAAACCCAGGATAGTTTAAGAAAATTATTAAAATTTTAAAAACTTTAACCACAGAGTGAATGTAATATTTCCTGGCAGAAAAACTAAGTCCATTTATAAGTAAAATACAGAAAAAATGGAATTTTATTTTTACAAAATTTACTTCTGGATACTATCTTATGATCATAAACAAGCTTCTGTCCAAGTTTGGTAGATATCCAGGATAGTTTAAGAAAGTTATTAAAATTTCAAAAACTTTAACCACAGAGTGAATATTTGTGGACGCCGCCGCCGACGCCGACGGAATGTAGGATCGCTATGTCTCGCTTTTTCGACTAAAGTCGAAAGGCTCGACAAAAAGGAAAAAAAAATACCCCCCAAAATTTTTGAACCCCTTATGATTCATCACCCCCAAAATCAATCCCAGCCTTCCCTTTGTGGTATTGTCCCTTGCAGTACAATTTCAGAGAGATCCATACACTTGAACACAAGTTATTGTCTGGAAACTAGAAAAATGCTTGTTTTTTGGCCCCTTTTTGGGGCAATTACCCCCAAACTCAAACCCAGCTTTCCCTTTGTGATATGGAACCTTGTAGTACAATTTCATAAAGATCCATACACTTACACACAAGTTATTGTCCTGAAACTAGAAAAATGCTTGGTTTTTTTTCCCTTTTTGGCCCCTAATTCCTAAAATTTTGAGGTAATTATCGCCAAAACCAATCCCAGCCTTCCCTTTGTGGTATGGTACCTTGCAGTACAATTTCAGAGAGATCCATACATTTGAACACAAGTTATTGTCTGGAAACTAGAAAAATGCTTATTTTTGGCCCTTTTTTGGCCCCTTATTCCTAAATGTTTTGGGCAATTACCCCCAAACTCAATTCCAGCTTTCCCTTTGTGATATGGAACCTTGTAGTACAATTTCAGATAGATCCATACACTTACACACAAGTTATTGTCATGAAACTAGAAAAATGCTTGTTTTTTGCCCGTTTTTTGGCCCCTAATTCCTAAAATTTGGAGGCAATTACCCCCAAAATCAATCCCAGTATTCCCTTTGTGATATGGGACCTTGTGGTACAATGTCAGAGAGATCCATACACTAACACACAAGTTATGTCTGGAAGTTACAAAAATGCTTATTTTTGCCCCTTTTTGGCCCCTAATTCCTTAACTGTTGGTACCATAACCCCCAAAATCAATCCCAACCTTCCTTTTGTGGTATTGAACCTTATGGTTAAATTTCATAGAGATCCATTCACTTAAAGTTAGAGTGTGAAAACCAATGTGTCTTCAGACTACGAAGATGACAACGAAGACGCCGGACGACGACCACGACCACGACGCCAATGTCCTACCAATATACAACCTCAAAATTTGTTTGCCGGTCGTATAAAAATTAAAAAAATTTGATAAATTCAATTTTGTATTTCAAAAGCTAAAATTTTTCTTCATTAGAACAAGGGGGAAATCAGAACAGAAGGAAGAGCATCCAACCTTTACTTTAGGGTTTAGGGTTTAGGGTTAATTCATTTTAGATCACCTACAATAAAAGACATTGTATAACTGGTATTTATGTATAATATACAGACACTTTTTTTGCCACTGAAATTTGGGTTGTTTTTTTTTGCCACTTGTTTTAATAAGTTTCAAGTTGTACATTGTAAATTGCTCTATTTCTGTGTCAAAATAAAATTTAAAATTGTTAAAAAATAATTTTTTTGTATACTTCATGAGTGTTAAATCAAGCCAAAAATAACCAAAATAAAATGTTGACACAGAGATATGTCTCATCTGTATGTAATTTTGATAGTAAAAGGCAAATGTTGAAGGTACAGGGCCAACTAATTTCAGTGAAGATAAGATATACCAATACTAATACAGTAACATAATGAATATCATTGAGTTATCATAAGTGGTTCCCCTTAAACTAACCTAAACTAAAACATTGCTGAAACCGCCCCATTCACCAACACTGCCAATGCCACCGATGTTAGAAAAACAATATCAAATTGAAAGTGTCTTATGTTAACAAAGTTTTCTATTTAAAGGTCACCTTTTCAGCTATACTTTATCTAAATAACCTATTTGAACTTTATGCTATACCTGTTGTAGCTATATTGTCCACCAGGAAAAATCTCTTCACTAAATGCCAATCTTTACTGTCAGCTTCTGTTTCAACAAATCAAAAGTTATAAATGCATATCTAAAGGTTTTTCATAGCAAAGTCATTATGCTAAATCACACTAAGTATAAAAATAAAATGATTGATATTCAAGGCGAATATTTTTCTAAAAAATATTATATATTAAGTAATCTTACTACCAAAATATTCCTAAACTAGAGGCTCTCAAGAGCTTGTGTCGCTCACCTAATTCTACTTTGGTTTTGGAAATCATGTAAAAATAGATTAAAATCATAACAGATACCCTTATAATGATTGAGGCCAAATTTGGTTTAATATTGGCCACGTAATTTAATCAAAAGCAGAAGACTTTTGAAAAGTTCACAGAATTTACCAATAAATTCATTGAAATTGTAGAAAATGACTTTATAACTATAAGGACAATAACTCCAACAAGATGTCAATTGACAATTTTGCTCATGTTGACTTATGTGTAGATCTTCTTTTCTTGATATTTTTGCAGTTTACAGTATATCTCAATCTATAAAGATACATGTATTAAGGTCTTCATCAGCACATCATAAGGAACATTCATGCCATGTTTAGTTTCATTCCATTCAGTGGTTCTTCAAAAAAAGACTTTTGTATGTATTTCACATAGGGTCCTTTGTTAAACTAAGTTCCCCGCTGGCAGCCATCTTGTATGATTGATTGGCTACAAAGTAACATCACTTGGCCAGCATCTCATTAGGAACATTCATGCCATGTTTGGTTTCATTCCATTTAGTGGTTCTCTAAAAGAAAACATTTGTATGTATTTCCCATAGGGTCCTTTGTTAAACTAAGTCCCTGCTAGGGCCCATCTTGGATGATTGATCGCCTACAAAGTTACAACACTTGGTCAGCACCTCATAAGGAACATTCATGCCATGTTTTATTTCATTCCATTTAGTGTTTCTCTAAAAAAAGACATTTGTATGTATTTCCCATAGGGTCCTATGTTAAACTAAGTCCCTCTCTGGCGCCCATCTTGGATGATGGATCCGCTTCAAAGTAACAACACTTGGTCAGCACCTCATAAGGAACATTCATGCCATGTTTGGTTTCATTCCATTCAGTGGTTCTCTAAAAGAAGACATTTGTATGTATTGTCCATAGGGTTCTATGCTAAACGAAGTCCCCCACTGGTGGCCATCTTGGATGATGGCTCTGCTTCAAAGTAACAACACTTGGTCATCACCTCATCAGGAACATTCATGCCATGTTTGGTTTCATTCCATTCAGTGGTTCTCTAAAAGAAGACATTTGTATGTATTGTCCATAGGGTCCTTTTCTAAAGAAGTCCCCCACTGGTGGCCATCTTGGATGATGGATCGGCTTCAAAGCAACAACACTTGGTCAACACCTCATGAGGAACATTCATGCCATGTTTGGTTTCATTCCATTAAGTGGTTCTCTAGAAGAAGTTCAAAATGTAAAAAGTTAACGACGACGACGGACGCCAAGTGATGAGAAAAGCTCACTTGGCCCTGTGGGCCAGGTGAGCTAAAAAGTCATTTTTTACTTAATTTTTTTCCTAGTTTTGGCCAAATGGACGTTAACTGTGTTTTCACTTCATCTAGACAAGTTCTGTAATGTTAAAAAGTGGAATGAATTGACTTCAAATTATATCTTCTACTAACTCTATGAATCTTATTTCCTTGAAGCAAAGTTATGTAATGTAAAACAGTATTCAATGTGAAATTAATTCAATTCAAAGTTCCTTTTCTATTGACTCTATGAATCCCTCTTTCTTGAAACCAACTGTATCCTGTTCTAAGTATATTGAGCTCTGATATTTTCCACTATAAGAAAAGGGAGTTAACCTACCTTGATTTACCTTCTGTCTGTTGTTCAAGTAGTCATTAAGTTTTATTGGTACAGGATAAATTTGTCGTCCATCCTCAAGTTCAAAATCAAGGACTTGTATAGAGTTAAGTCTTCAATTGTTTCAAAAAGTTTTCTTAAAATTCTCAAAAACATATTTACCCTGGTATCCAACTATGGAACCAGAGAATCACTTGAGACAAAACAATAACTTATTACCAACTCATTGTGTATACATATTTTACAGCTTTCACTCATGAACCTAACCATCAAAATGTACACTGTGAAATAAAAAGTGTTAACAAAATCCATTTCTTAAATGAAGTCAAATTAATTGTGTTTGATAGTGGCATAGTACTTTTCCATGAATTTAATGTGTTTGTTTGTTTTCATAGCCTACACTATAAAAGTAAAGTTCAATGATAAATCATGATTTTATATAATTATGTAGCAGTTGCATCTGCCACAGTGTTTGTAAAATGTTAATGATCATGTCAGTTGACATTAAATCAATGATTATATATGTCAGCCTATAATTGCTTACATCCACTTCATTTGAACTTTGGTGGATAGTTGTCTCACTGGTAATCATACCACATCTCCTTATTTTTATATTAAACTGTTATTTTCAGCTTTGATTTGTAAAATAGAATGACTGTAAATAAAAACAAGAGAGCACACACTGAAATGCCTTGCCTGACAATTAATTTTATGTTGAAAGTTTCAAAGATAAAGGTTTTACTAAAAGTATTACATAAATTTAAAATCCTGTTAGAAAGACATATTCACCTTACAATTTTTTTTGTCCACCAAATAAAGTTGACTTATTGCTTATTGTAATTGTAAAACAGACCAAAACACAATAACTTAACATTGACCAATGAACCATGAAAATGTGGACAAGGTCAGATTATACCTGCCAGACAGACATGTACACCTTACAATCATTCCACACACAATATACAATTGACCTATTGCTTATAGAACTTGAAAAACAGACCAAAACACAAAAACTTAACATTGACCATTGAATGATGAAAATGAGGCCATGGTCAGATAAAACCTGCAAAACACATGTACCCATTACAATCATTCCACACACCACATATAGACATAGTTGATCTACTTCTTACAGTATTTGAAAAATGTACCTTATCACGTAACTTTAACCTAGGTCACTGATCCATGAAATGATGTCGAGGTCAGGTGAACCCTGAATGACGGACATGTAGACCTTGCAAGGAACCCATATACCAAATATACTTATCTTATTCTTTAATAATAAGTGAGAAATTCACATGACAAAAAATTTTAATTTTTTTTCAAGCAGTCGCTGTACCATGAAAATGAGGCCAAGGACAATGGACATATGACAGATGGAAACTTCGTGACATAAGGTATCTACATGCAAGATATAAAGCATCCAGGTCTTCTACCTTGTGAAATAAAAAGCTTTTTACAAATAGTTTACATCGCCGCTGTAGGATAGTAATACTTATGTCTCGCATACTGTGACTTTTGTCGCAGGAGAGGCAAAAACCTGTATAATCATGATCATGAATATATTGTACTCTTTTAAAACATAAAAATGACCTTTGTGATACAAAAACAAAGACTGCCAAGTTCAAAACATACTAATATGAAACATTCAATTGCACTGAGAAACAAAACTTCAAATAAAACTGGTCTATAAAAGAGCATAGCTTAGCAATTATAAAAGGATACACAGATCATAAAACTCTGGTTTATATTTGGTCTGATCCCACAAATCTATTGCTGGAATGGAACACTGCAAATAACATCAATAATTATTGTTAAATAAATAATCCAATCAGTTTCTTCAAGTCATGCTAAGCATTATATCTAGTGCTCTGATTTTTCAATTTTTCAGAAATGAAAGGGCAGGTATTGAATTTATTTATTCAACAACAACTTGTTTTTCTCCCCTTTCTAGCTGTTACAACAGTGCGAACCAAAAATGTATTTCAAACTCACTTTATCTATGTAATAGTATTTTCAATGATTTTTTTTGGTTCTTACAACGGTTTGAATTAGAAGTCAGTGTTACTTCTTATTTCTGTAATGATTTTTAACAATTAGCTAGTTTATCTACGTTTCACCTCAACTGCATCAGTAGAAAGATTAACATAATTGCTTTTCAAAGTTTTGAAAATAACATTTTTTTATAGTAAAAAATCAATTAATTCTAACAATAAGAGAAAAGTATTTAGCTTACAAGTTGAATTTGTTAAATGGAGAACAAAATATGTAAAAAAATGCTACATTTACTCAATGATCATATCAAACTTGAGTTTTAATGATATCTAAAGAAATCTTACTGAATGTGTGTAATATGTGCCAAAAACAAAGGCTGCATTTAGTCGAGTAGTGGTGTCTGAGCAGAGCTGAATTTTGCCACCCAGTACTGAGTCTATGCCGAGGAACTCTCCATTCTGTGAATAGCTAGCTGCTAATATCTTGATATTCATTGGAGGATCAAAGGTATAAGTTGTAGTAATAGACTCATCATCAAGTACTCTATCTCCATCCTGTGCAATTATACCATCTCGTGTGAAGTACAGATCAGGCAAAAATGATTGCCTGAAAATATAAAACAATACTGTGGATTCATTTATTTTCGTGGATGAAGGAAACTTTGTATTTTCAGGGGTATCTGATTTCATGGTTTTGACAAAATCTGCATACAAGACTATAGAAAATATTTACTTAGTTGAACAATTAAATTTGTGGTTCACTTGTACCCACGAAATCCACAAAAACTGGTATCTCACGAATAATAATGAATCCAAAGTAATACTACAAGAATGTGTTCATAGTTCACTGATGTCCCACTCCCACTATCATTTTCTATGTTCAGTGGACCGTAAAATTGGGGTCAAAACTCTAATTTGGCATTAAAATTAGAAAGATAATATCATTGGAAACATGTGTAATTTGATTGAACTTCAACTTCATCAAAAACTACCTTGACCAAAAACTTTAACCTGAAGCGGGACAGGCGGGCGGACGAACGGACGCACAGGCCTAAAAACATAATGCCTCTAGGTGGGGCATATAAACAGGACAGACAACCAGCAGTTACAGTGTGTAAGCAGGTTTTTAAGTTAGTTGTGTTGTATGTCTGTGATGTATGTTCACACAGTTTCTTGTTGCTTGATCCCAATTATTGTCACATTTACTAATTACGTTGTTGGGGTTCCTCACCCAATTTTGTCAATGTAACGAAACCATGTAAAACTGTCATGCAAGAGGGAGGTTTAGCTAGCTTTGAAATCAGGTTTAACCCACCAACTGCTTTGGAAAAATGCCTGTACCAATTCAGTAATATGACGGCTGTTTTTTCACTTGTTCCATTGCTTGATAACATGTGATTTTGTCAACTTTTTTGGCCTTCCCCTTTTTTTATTTACCTTTGGTATTTTCGTTATACTTTTTTATCATAGTAAAAGAACTGTCAAATATGGTGGGAAAAGCAGTAATTTGTGTGTTCTTTATATTATAATTTCAAAATATCCAATAATATCAGCTGGTATATCTAAATCAAATTGTTTGTTTTTAATTTTGTAGTTTTTTGGAAATCACGAATTACTATAGAATTAGTATATTTTCATAATAATTACTATAAAATGTTCATCAACCCTACCAAATTTTTCAATTCCACTTTTAGGAGTACAATGTGTACATATAATAAATTAAATAATACAAATTCCTTAGACTGCATGCTTATTGAATAATATCATAAATAATCCAATGTATTACATTCATAACTCCATAAAAAAGTTAACTTGATAAGTTACATGTATTTGTGGTGGTGGTGGTGGTGGTGGTGGTGTTAAAAATGTTGGGTACAAATAATAAGATTTATTTGGAAACAATACTAGTACCATACTAAAAAATCACCCTGAAAAAATTTAAAAAGAAGTAGTCCGTAAAGTTTCTATATGGTGTCCTTAATTACATTAATGCTGACAAAATGTCAAAACAATACAAATTTTGTTTTCCTTTTAAAAATAAAATCAAAATATTCAAAAAAAAACTGCTTCGCTGAGCGCAGCTGGATACGCCCGCAAAGGTCCAACCCTGAACAGTTGGGACAAAAATGGACACAATATTCAAGCTTGATACAGGTCTGAATTTGGATTGTATTAAATATTTAACATATTATAGGTTTGATGAATAAATGTAGTCAAAGAACTTGAAATTGGTTATATGAATTGAATTTATATTCAATTAAAGATTTCTTGCTGTTGTACATTACACTGTGCTGTTGCACAATACTTAGTAAATCTGTTGTCAGACTATAAACAATTAAAGTTCAATTAATTCTCAATGTCATATTAAAAATTTATGAAAATGTAAAGGGAGCTTACATCAATAGATATAAATAATTCACCAAAGTTTCATGAGAATTTCTGACAGCATTTTTGGGTTATTGTCCGAAAACTGGAAAATCCCCCCTTTTTTAATGAATAAAACCCCATAACTCAGAAATGTAAAATGTAAAATTTATAAAATTCTAAACAGAGCTTACATCAATAGATATAAACAATTCACCAATGTTTCATAAGAACTGCTGAAAGCATTTTTGATTTTTTGTCTGAAAACTGGAAAATCCCCCTTTTTTTATGAATAAAACCCAATAACTCGGAAATGTAAAATCTAAAATATATAAAAATCAAAAGGGAGCTCATGTCAATAGATATAAACAATTCACCACAATTTCTTGCAAGTTGGTGAAAGCATTCTCGAGTTATTGTCCGAAAACTGGAAAATCCCCCTTTTTTTAATGAATAAAACCCCATAACTCGGAAACGTAAAATCTAAAATTCATAAAAAACGAAAGGGAGCTCACATCAATAGATATAAACAATTCACCAAAGTTTTATGCAAATTGGTTAAAGCATTTTTGAGTTAATGTCCGAAATGTTGACGACGGACGGACGGACAGATGGACGGACAATATATCATAATACGTCCCGTAAACGGGCGTATAAAAATTGTAATTTGGGTATTGTAACATTACATTATCTATCCCAATGAAAAGGCAAATAAAAACTTCATACCAGTCTGCACGATTATCCTGTATAATATTCTTGTACAGGTTACATGCTGAGGTTTTTTGTAAACTATCTTCATATTCAAAAAATGTCAATGCACACATATTACCCAATGTCTGGCATGCTGTCTCATTTTTGTTCTGGAATTAAAATACAAACATGACAAAGTCAATATAATGCATGAAAAAGAACATATATCTACTTTAATCTTGAGTTTTAACTATGAGATATTTGAAATAGTTTACTTTTTTATCATTTGCACTTTTATAAGACTTTCATCTGAACTGCATATTTTTTTTTTCATTATAAAGAGATCAAAAATTTATTATTCATATAAAAACAATAATTCTTTTCTTATTCTTCATGGAAACAGGAATAGACCACACCAGATTGATTTAATAATCCTTGTCATTAATTTTAGCTTGAAAAGATTTAGCATTAAACTATGCTGGTTCTAGAATATGTCATAAAGTAACAATATTCATATTCAAATGTCTGTTGACAAGATATTCTCAGTATAATATTTAATAATTCATTTTTCATATAATTAAAATTGATTTAAAATAGGAAAACAATGACTATTTCTTTTTACTTTATTATTCAATTCTAAAAAAATATAGTTTTTCAGAAAATCCTGTGCCTGAGCTAGCAGCAAGTTTATTAAACAAAAAATAATAATTTGATATAGTTCTGACTTAAAATCTCTATTCTGATTTGCCTAGTTCCAGACAGGACTACTTACTTCTTGGCACATCAGATATGCTGCCTTCAATTGTTTATCTAAGAGCTGGGAGAACTGAGCAGCAAAACCATCCTGTAAATAAGATAAACTTAAGTCTTAATCTAAATTATGTTAATTCAGAAATTATTGCGTACATTTATTATTGCGATTTTTGAAGAATGGACAAACATGTATTAAGGATAAACTTTAAGTGCTATTGCGATTTCGGGAAAAGCTGCATACAGATACACTCCCGACAAGATGATTCCTGCAAAGTCCATCTAAAGAAGCAGATTATCGCGACGGGGAAATTATATTTTTACCTATACTATGCCGCGAAAAGTCCATTATGATCGTGGACAGGTCAAATTTTTATCGTGGACCTTCGCGGAAATCAATAGAATATCTATCGTAATAACACAGAATTCTATGTTGTCGATAAAATATAACGTTTAATTATTGTTATGTGCATGAGAAATAATTGTGGCTGTAAAAGCTATTAGCGAGAAAACAAGATATTTGTCAGTTTATTGGTTGTGTCTATTGTTATTTTAAATCACATTAACCCGTAATTACTCCTCTTGTCCTGTTGTTATTTCTGTTCAAGCTCAGGTAAAGTTTGATTGACATGGGGCGGTCTTTCATTTGTACTTTTGTCTGAAAGGTGATGCATACCAGGAAAATACACAAAAGTCATACGAGAAGTTTAAACCAATGAACGGGTGATCAGGTAATAATGGATTGTGGAAGGAGGAGCTACATTATATTGACTGATTTTGAACTTATTATCTTTAGAAATTTGTAAATTGAAAATTGTTTGAGATTCGTAAAATCATTAATGTTACAAGTTATTAATTATCAATAAAAATAGTTCAATAGACAGTTTTTATAAAATATCTGAGACTGTAGTAGTTCTAGTTTAAAATCCTGGATATTTCCTGTGACTAATAATTTTTTTATTTTATTGTTGCCGTAGAAAAAAAAATCGTAATTTTTAAAAATGTAATATTCATTTTTATCATTAAAATGATAATTGTCTTACAAATCGGGCTTATTGATTTGAAAGGTTGAATGGTGTTTGTGTGTTTTTACAAACGTGAATTCTTGAAAAATGGGAAAATAAAAAATAAATATTGATACAGCTCATTCAAATTTTCAATGTCACGCTGTATACAACTATGTACATGTACATGTAATAGGCTTACTTAATGTATCGCATTCGATTATTGATTGCTTAATGTCAAATGACTAATGATTCAGTTCATATTTTGGAAAAACACTACACTACGAAAAAAAAAAGAAAGTGGCTGACATCTTGTGATTTTTAAGTGAATTGTTTTACCGTGGAGAAACATCTTTTTGTTTTGTTGTAACTGATTATTATGGTAAAAAAAACGAAAAAGACATCAGCGAAGAAGAATAGAGACACTTGTTATATGAACATCTTTCTGTTCACCATTTCACAGAGCTACCGATTCTTGTATTGATGGTTAAACGTCCAGTGACCAATATATCAGTGCATACTAAGAATAGACAGTTCGATATAACCTGTACTGAAAAATCGCCTTATATTGAAAATGGGGCGTATGCTTAAGCATTGTAAAAATCCTTTATGTACTTATGTAGATAATATGTTCATGTTCATGTTTTTTTAGTGAAAGTTTCTATTATAATTAGGAATTATAGTTTCATTGAATCACGGGCGCTTGTGGCGTGGACCCCCCTTTTTTGTATGTATAATTTTTTTTTTATATATTTTTTCATATTTCAACTTTTCACTACTTTAAAGTGTTCTAACTCTTATACATGCGATTTAACAATAAAAAATCGTGGGAAATAAGAATAGAGGGACAGCTTATAAAAAAAATTAATACAGGGTCACTATATGTAAAATGGGAAATGTACTGGTGGATTAGAATTCTTTGATTATTTCATTACAAGTCTGAAAGGATGAAGATTAAAATTTGAATAATGGGTTATGTACTGTGATCTTATTGCTTATATTTTCTACTTTAGGTCTTGGATGGATAGTTGTCTCATTGGCAATCATACCACATCTTCTTCATATTTGTATGGTCACTTTTTCATATTGTTTTTTATTTAGAAAAATTGTTACAACAAATAAAGAATCTTTTTGAAAAATTTGGTGGCCCTGAAAAGGGCCGTTTTACAACTGAGTTAACAGAGGCTTTATCACTGGAACTGCAGACCTTTCAATCGCTTGATTACATCTGGGTCAGTCTTCAGCTTATTATTGAAATACGCTAGCGATTTACCCCTTGTCCTCTCAGGAAAAATCTTGTCAGGCAGATGACCAGTTGCTGCTCCATTCATCAAGACACATACGGGTGCAACCTTATATATATGATCAATGTACATGTTGCATTGCTCTACATTCATCTTCTCGCACCAAAAAGTCTGTAAAGTGTTGACAAGCTCCTCTTTTGTTTTGGGGTCTACACGGGCTACATGACGCTTCGTCTGATTTCATACCATTTCTATGGGGTTCAAGTCAGGACTTTCGGAAGGCCATATATCCAACCAATTTATACCGTTGTCGTTCATAAATTCTTTTGCCATTTTTGACTTGTGCTTAGGGTCGTTGTCTTGTTGGAATCTGTGCCCATCTGGAAACTTTACCCGAACATAAGAAAGAAGGTTGTCCCGTAAAATGGAGTTTTGAAGAATTCTTTTTCCGAGTTTTGAAGAATTCTTTTTCCGTTATATCTTCGAAGATGGTCAGTTTTGACGGACCCCTCCGACTTATGGCACCCCAAACATGGACTTTCAGTGGATGTTTCGGCTTTCCATGAACCATTGGAGCAGAATCTTTCTCTCTGTAATAATTGGTCTTATTTTGGAAGGTCTGTATGGAACTTTCATCAGAGAAGATTATGTCTGCAAAGTCGTCATTTTCGTCAATGAGGTGTTGGCAAAAATCAACACGTTTTGGTCTGTTTGCCCTTCTCAACATCTGGCCAAACCGCGGTCGTGAATGGGTGAAACCTGCAGCGTCGATGGCTATTTTGGTGACCGACAGACTCATGTTGGCACTATCTGCAACTAGGGCTTTGTGGATCTGCTTACTTGACATGGAAAAGTCTGACTTAATAAGTTCTTTGATGAGTTCGGCGTCTCTCTCAGAAACTTTTCTGAAGGTCCGTTGTTTTGGTTGGACATGAACACCACGCTCGGAAATAAAACCCCTGTCATAGGCTCTCAACCAGTACCGTAAGGAATGACGCGAAATGTTATGGCCCCTGGTCCTCAATATTCCAGTAATTGCTTGGATGTTGTTGCCCGACTTTCTCAGTACTGCAATTTCTTGTTTGATTTTGTCGTCTACTCTGCCCATTGTTACGTTGAAACTGATAATTTTTCATTTAACAGTTGGCATTTTAATAAGAAATCAACATGTGACAGCGAATTCATAAATTTCTTTAGGTGTTAAAATTGAAAAATATCAAGCCATAAAACTTTGTTACACAATATACAATGTACCAGCAAATGACAATATACTGCCCCCTGAAATAAACGAACTGGTCAAAGGACTTCAACCAGGTACATGTACATATAATATACATGTATTTAGCTGATCAATACCCCAAAAATGTCAAGGTAAACAATTTCAAAAAAATTTCTCACGGTTGTAAGAAATATCATAAATACACGTAAATGTTACAATTTGTAATACATATAAAATACAGGTGCATTTTATTTTTGCAGAATTTTTTTTTAAAGTGAAAACATTTGTATAAATTCTTGTACACATCTTTGTCTGAATTTAATTTAAAAAAAAACCCTTACAATCTCTATTAATTTGATCTTTATGCTTCTTATACAACTTTTTTACAAAGATAATCATTCTCTTGTTAAAAGTTGACGCAACTGAAAGAAATTGGCCTTTTGCAAATAACTTTATCGGAAGAGAAGTTAATAAAATCTTATTAAAAATTATCATTAAAATAATTATAACTAATTCCAAAATAAATTTAATGTCTTGAATTAGTCGTTATAATTGTTTGGCACATGCCGTTCGATACACAGATTATCCACTGACATTGTAGTTTGACCATCCACCTTTTCTGTACTTATCTAAATACATATTTTACGAGGGAAGTTAAATATAAAAATTATTCATCAAAAGGAATTTTTAATATATATCATACATAAAAGATTGATATCATTATATTTTATAAAATCTTTTTGGATTTCATCATTTGTGCAATCAAAGGTATATCAAGACATAAAAAAATTCTCATCATTTATTTAATGTTAGACTGTGAAATAGATCTATTAATATTTTTTCCTTTAAATTAAAACACCTGTTATTTATTATTCCCTTTTAACTTGTAACGAAAAATATGAAACTCTGGGATGTATAAATATGCAGCCACGTCCAGAAATGAAATGTTACTTACGATGACTTGAATAAGGTGTTATAATCTACAAGTTTTAATATAAAATCAATGGAAAAAAAACCTGCAGGTGTCAATAGATGGTCTGTTGTAAATTCTTACCAAACAACATACATGTACTCTCATTTTCAAGCGACTTCAAACATCTCGCCTTTTATCCCGGTTACCCTGCATATATTGTATTAATTGTGTATTTTTTTCATTCGCAGAAAACATGTATGCATTTAATATTTGTCACTGAAGGTTAAACAAGCAACCATAATTCAATCAATCGATTAAAATCAACATCTTTCAAATACATATTTTAGTCAATAAGGACCTTGAACAGAAATCCATTTTGACAGAGAACTATTGAAGTAATACATTTATTTTCGAATACTACTGTTGTGAAGATGAAAGAGAACATTTTTTTTTATATAGAATAATTAAAATAATCTTTATAGTCATAAGGCATATTTTAATTCAGGTATAAAACTAGCCTATCACACTTCTTTTTATTCATGCAAATACATTTGTACCCCAAAATACTACAAAGCCAAAGAAGACTGCAGAGTTTAAAAAAGTAAGTAAAAATTATATATTTATTCGAAAGTTTGGAAATCTATTCCGATAGTTTGGAAATCTTTTCGCAAACTTTAGAAGCACAGGTGTTCAGCCAGACACAGTGTCGCCTCT